GCGCTGTGGGAGGGGGGGGGGGGGAAGGGAAAGAAGGGACACAAACATTCAAGCAGCTCTGATGCCCTGGAGATTTGAACCCCTAAATTATCATTTCTTCCACATGGGAAAATGCCACTTTCTCTAAATGAACTTCTCCACCTACGCATCCACTTCTCCACTTACGCATCACAACAGAATGACATAGCAGACACTACCTTTTTTCATTCCCTTTTGGGGGGGGGAAGGGAAAGAAGGGACACAAACATTCAAGCAGCTCTGATGCCCTGGAGATTTGAACCCCTAAATTATCATTTCTTCCACATGGGAAAATGCCACTTTCTCTAAATGAACTTCTCCACCTACGCATCCACTTCTCCACTTACGCATCACAACAGAATGACATAGCAGACACTACCTTTTTTCATTCCCTTTTACTGCCTGTGGTTATTAGGACAGGAGACGAAATATATAAGTGACATCTCTTACTTGGCATCCTAAACAGCCATAAAAATTGCATAATACAAATATTCTCAGGCTTGCTGAATCTAATTCTCTAATCACGTTATTCGGACATAGTTACAAATACTCTTCTGAAATAAGAAATTAAAATTTATAAATGACTTACAGAAGTACATTCATAATGCATGAAATGATTTCACTTGCCAACCCCAGAGCTGTGTGAAACTGACTAATTTTGTTTGTGGAACTTTTCAGTTTCGTTTGGAGTGGTTTTTGACACTCCTTGCTCACTCAGTTTGTTCTTTACTGGAGAAAATGTCTATTTTCACATGATAAAGGTATGAAAATGTGAATTTCTTTGTGTATACTTCTTGATAGGAAAGCTTTTAAAGCTGCAAATATAGGTTATTTTAGCTGGGAAATTAGGCCTGTCTTTGCATTCAAAATGTGCCCACCTTAGTAAAATGGTATGTGTAAGATTACATCTAGACTGCAGCTTTTTCCTGGGATACTGGAGGTATCCTGGAAAAGCTATGCCCATGTCCAAGGAAGGCCTCCACTTTTCTAAGGCCTTCCATTTCATGAGGAAGAAGAGGTGGCTCAAAAGAGAAGGTTTTTCTGAAATTTGGCACGGTGTAGACGCGCCAAATTTCAGAAAAGCCTCTTTCAAAAGAAAAGCTGGAAAAGATATGCAAATTGCGGTTTGCAATTTGCGCCTCTTTTTCTGACTTTTCTTTGTGGGGTAGACCTACCCTAAATGGGCTCAGTTTTGAGTTCCTAACAATGTGTGAAAAACTCTGAAATTTCAATTTTTTTTGCATTTTGTTATGAATATTTTTCAAATTTCTGGTTAGCTCTTCATCAAGGATTTCAGGGCTTTAAAATAGCACACATAAAAATTGGGGGCCTGTGAAGGTGTACAGCTCTTTATTCACCTTAATCTTTTCACCTTATGCAAACATGTTCCCAGAAGAGACCTGAGGATTTACACCCTCTCTCAGCTCACCGCTACCATAAACAGCCTGGCTGTGTCTAGACTGGCCAGTTTTTCCGGAAAATCAGCTGCTTTTCCGGAAAAACTTGCCAGCTGTCTACACTGGCCACTTGAATTTCCGCAAAAGCACTGACTTCCTACTGTAAGAAATCAGTGTTTCTTGCGGAAATACTATGCTGCTCCCGTTCGGGCAAAAGTCCCTTTTGCGCAAAAGAGCCAGTGTAGACAGCTCAGATTTGTTTTCCGCAAAAAAGCCCCGATCGTAAAAATGGCCATCGGGGCTTTTTTGCGGAAAAGAGTGTCTAGATTGGCTTTTGCCAGAAAAGTGTGTCTAGACTGGCTTTTGCTAAAGTGCTTTTGCGGAAAAGCGTCCGTGCCAATTTAGACGCTCTTTTCCGCAAAAAAGCCCCGATCGTAAAAATGGCCATCGGGGCTTTTTTGCGGAAAAGAGCGTCTAGATTGGCTTTTGCCAAAAAAGTGGGTCTAGATTGGCTTTTGCTAAAGTGCTTTTGCGGAAAAGCGTCCGTGCCAATTTAGACGCTCTTTTCCGAAAATGCTTTTAACGGAAAACTTTTCTGTTAAAAGCATTTCTGGAAAATCATGCCAATCTAGACGCAGCCCCTATGTTAAGGCCATCATCTCTTCAGCAGAGAGTTGGATTGGACACCACTTAGGGTATGTCTACGCTAGCCCCCTAGTTCGAACTAGGGAGGCTAATGTAGGCATTCGAAGTTACAAATGAAGCCCGGGATTTAAATATTTGCCTCTCCCCTTAGTCCAAACTAACTGCCCGCGGCTACCCGCGGCAGTCAAACGTTAACTTGAACTAAGTCCTTAGCTCGAGTTAACTGTTACACATCGTGGACTAAGGGGATTTAAAAATGGCGCCTGGACGGGAACATGCAAATAAAGCCCGGAATATTTAAATCCCAGGATTCATTTGCAACTTCGAATGCCTACATTAGCCTCCCTAGTTTGAACTAGTGGGCTAGTGTAGACAAACCCTTACAGACTTTCAAGCATCTCCCCATGATCTGTTGGAGAAGTTGTTGATCAGTGCATGATCTGAGCTACTGATCTCCTAAATGAAGTTGTCCAGCCTAGTCTAAGTCTATGTATGCATATCAGCTTACATAAGTTTAACTTATGTTGCTCAAAGGTGTGAATAAGATGCTCTCTGAGGGTATGTCTACACTACCACCCTAGTTTGAACTAGGGTGGTTAATGTAGTCATACGAACTTGCAAATGAAGCCCGGGATTTGAATTTCCCGGGCTTCATTTGCATGTTGCCGGGCACCGCCATTTTTAAATGTCCGCTTGTGCGGATTCCGTGCCCGCGGCTACACTCAGCACGAACTAGGTAGTTCGGACTAGGCTTCCTATTCCGAACTACCGGTACACCTCGTGGAACTACCTAATCCGAACTACCAAGTCCGTGCCGCGTGTAGCCGCGGCACGGAGTCTGAACTAGAGGACATTTAAAAATGGCGGCGCCCCGCAACATGCAAATGAAGCCCGGGAAATTCAAATCCTGGGCTTCATTTGCAAGTTCGTATGACTACATTAACCACTCTAGTTCGAACTAGGGTGGTAGTGTAGACATATCCTGAGTGACATAAGTTATACTCACCTAAGTGCCGGTGTGAACAGTGCTATGTTGGTGAGAGAGTTTTTCCTACTGATGTAGCTACAGTTGCTCACAGGGGCTGGAGTAATTAAGTCAACAGCAGAAGTCCCTCTGGTCGGCTTAGAGCATCTGCACTAACAGTGCTACAGCGGCACAGCTGCACTGTTGTAAGTTCTGTAGTGTAGCCATAACCTATGTCTCTCTCGTGGCAATACAGAGCCACTGCCTCAAAGCAATCTGATCAGGCCTATACCTGCCACTTTGTTGTATTCAACTCAAATTAAAAGTACAGAGAAGCCTTTAGAAAATCATGTTGGCAGCACGGCATATTACCACTCACTTGATGGGCAGCCATATGCATAGCTTCACTCTAGCAGAACAAAATACTTGCTTATTTTTTGCAATCAAGGATGACATCTCTCTGTGTCTCTGGAGGACATTATTGTATCACACTTACAGGCATACACTTCAGACCTCAAATTTAGGTGTTCACTTCCAAATAACTTCGCAATGGATTTTTTTTCTGTAGCAGTTTCTTGCTCGTGGCTAATTCCTAAGCAGCCTGACATTTGTCTTCATTTGGCTGTAGATGTGTCCAACCACCACTAAGAGAAATGCAAGCTGTAGCTTTGCAATTGCTGTCTACTTGGCATATAAACCATTACCAGGATGAACGACCTTAGGATAATACAGCTTTCAGAAATGGCTCTCATCATTACAGCATGTAAATAAGCCAACAAAGTTGTCATCTCATCTAGAGTCTCTATAATTCTTTTCTCTGTATAAGTCCTGTGGTATTCTAGTAATTATTATCCAGAGTCTGTCTTGGGAGGTCTGATGGCTTTAAGAGACTTACATTCAAACCGTGGGACATACAATCCTATGGGAATTGCAACAAAACAGCACGTTTATAGCAACAGTGTTATGTGTTCAGATCATTCAAAACTGCAGAGGGGGAAAGGTTGTATTTTTGTGGAATATTAACTGTAAAATATTTCATTGAAACTGATTGTAAGCTGAAGTTCTTGGGTATTATTTATACAGAAACTAAGATCTCTTACTAATAAGCAAGAAAAAAGTCATTCTGGTCTAGTGAATTCTAGGAAGGAGACAATTCTTTCAAGCATTATTTACAAATGACATGTTCGCTATTACTTTTAAAATAAATGTGAATAGGGTCATCCCTGCAGGAGTGTGGGGCCTGGGACATAGGTGCTGAGTTTCTAATCTGTGGGCAAGGTGTTCTTCCCAGGTCCTGCCCCCACTTCACTCCATCCCTAAGGCCTCACCCACTTCTTCCCTACCCAGTTCTGCCCCTTCTCTAAGCACTCTGTGCCTTCATTCCTTGTACCTCCCTGCAGCACTTCCTGATGCTGTTAAACATCTGATCCATGGTAGGTGGATAGGTGCTGGGAGGGAAAGGGATAAGCAGGACCCATGAGCAAGTAGAAGGCTCTGGGGGGAGGAGGAAGTTCTGATGTAGGGGCTGCTGATTTTTTCCTGTGGCTACTCCAGCCCTGGGCAAATCGGCCTCCCCACTAGTCTCTTCACCATCCATCTTTTTTTTTTTTATCACTTAACACTTATCAAAGCATCCAAGCATCGGAATGGGGCAGTGTTCCCAATTCACTATATTCAAGAGATGGCTCTGAGCAGAAGACATTTTTTAAGGGAAACTGATGTTTTGCTTAAGGTTTCAAAATTCAAAATGCAATTAATTGCTTTGATGGCTCAAAATGTTAAAGCCAATATTAGTTTGTTTTCTGAGAATCTGGCACTTGGGGGGGGAAATAGCACAACCGGGGCTTCTGCAGGTATGT